GAAATACCATACAATCCAGCAATTCCACTCCTAGGAATCTATCCTAGAGAAATAAGAACTGTCACATGAACAGACATATGCACACCCATGTTCATTGCAGCATTGTTCACAATAGCAAAAAGATAGAAATAACCTAGATGCCCATCAACAGGTGAATGGATAAACAAACTATGGTATATACACACAGTGGAGTATTATGCAACGATAAAGAACAACGATGAATCTGTGAAGCATCTCATAACCTGGATGAAACTGGAGGACATTATGCTGAGTGAAATAAGTCAATCACAACAGGACAAATACTGTATGAGACCTCTACTGTAAAAACTCATGAAAAGGTTTCCATACAAAAAGAAACAATCTTTGTTGTTTATGAGGGATGGGAGGGGTGGGGGGGCGAACTAAACAGACAATAGATAAGTGGTAACTTTGGTGAAACGTAAGACATTAAACAATACTTGGGAAGCCAGCATAACTTGTACAAAGAGAGGTCATGGAAGTTCCACAGAGATATCCAAACTCCCTGAGGGACTGAATTGCTGGGCGGAGGGCTGTGGGGACCATGGTCTCAGGGAACATCTAGCTCAATTGGCATAACACAGTTTATAAAGAAAATGTTCTACATTCTACCTTGGTGAGTAGCGTCTGGGGTCTTAAAAGCCTGTGAGCAGCCATCTAAGATACTCCACTGGACGCATCCCTTCAGGAGCAAGGGAGAAGGAAGAAAACAAGATACAAGGAGAAGATTAGTCCAAAGGACTAATGAACCATAACTACCACGGCCTCCACCAGACTGAGTCCAGTACAACTAGATGGTGCCTGGCTACCACCACTGACTTCTCTTACCAAGATCACAACAGAGATCCTGGACAGAGCTGGAGAAAAATGTAGAATAATATTCTAACTCACAAAAAAAGACCAGACTTACAGGCCTGACAGAGACCGGAGAAACGCTGAGATTATGGCCCCCGGACACCCTTTTACCTTAGTAAGGAAATCACTCCCAAGGTTCACCCTTCAGCCAAAGATTAGACAGCTGTATAAAACAAAACGAGACTAATAGGGCTCAACAGTCCAGGGACAAGGACTAGAAGGCAGGAGGGGACAGGAAAGCTGGTAATGGGGAACCCAAGGTTGAGAAGGGTCAGTGTTGACATGTCGTGGGGTTCTTAACCACTGTCATAAAACAACATGTGTACTAACTGTTTAATGAGAAACTATTTGTTCTGTAAACCTTCACCTAAAGTACCAAAAAAAAAAAATTTTTTTTTAAGGAAGTTAGATACTCCTGCTTATTTGAGACCACTTGGCGATTTAGCACCACCTACCAGAGTGCTGGAGCCCTGGTGGTGCAATGATTAAGCACTTGGCTGCTAACCAAAAGGTTGGTGGTTTGAACCCACCAATCAATCCGTGGGAGAAAGATGTGGCAGCCTGCTTACGTAAAATTACGGCCTTGGAAACCCTATGGGGCAGTTCTACTCTGTCATAAAGGGCCACTATGATGGATTAGAGTTTTGGTAGCAGAGTGCCAAGGAACCTTGGTGGTGCAGTGGTTAAGCGCTTGGCTGTTAACCAAAAGGCTGGTGCTTCAAACCCACCAGCTGCTCTGCAGGAGAAAAATGTGGCAGTCTGCTTCCATAAAGACTATAGCCTTGGAAAGCCTATGCGGCAGTTCTACCCTATTCTATAAGGTCGCTATGAGTGGGAATCGACTTGATGGCAACAGGTTTAGCATTTGTTTGTTTTTTAGGTTTTTAGCAGAGTGCCTGGAAAACAGAATAGACACAAGATAAATGCTAATAAATGACTGACTTTCACAATATTTTAAGAAATATTGAGAGAGGGTCTGATATATTCCTAGGCCATATATGCCAAATCCTAAACCCCAATTCTTAATTCTGAATTGCCAAGAAAACCCCTATCAAACGGTCAACAAGTCTTGAAGAAATAATTGTTAGTGTCCTCTACTCTGTAACTGGGTCAATGATAAAGCTATAACCAAATGGTTTTAGAACATCTGGTTTATAAAGCCAAATGAATATAATCAACACAGTAACCGTTTACATTGAATGAGTCTATTAGTTGGGATTTTGTTGTTGTTACTGTTTTAAGTACAGAAGCCCAACAAATTAGCTTAAGCAAAAAATATTGTTAAATGGGGAACCTAGTAACTCTCATAGCCTGGTAAGCTACCAGGAGAGCTCTCAAAATTGATGAAAGAGCTGTGGGAATGAGGCGCCTCAAGGACTTAGCGTCTCTTGGGTGTTTTCTATTACTGTCTCTCATCTCAGTGTCTCTGCATATTTTGCTCCTTTGTTTCTACGGTAGACCAGCTCTTTCCACAGATACAGCAGATGAAGATTGGCATCCCCAACAAAATAAGAACAGCTTTTTCTCTCATGTAACAATCTCAGGGAAGGGTTCTAATTGGTTCTGTTTGGGTCATGGACCCATTCCTTGAATCAAACACTGTTCACGACAGCAGGACAAGATATTGGGATTGGCCAGGCCTGAATCATGTCATGTACTAGTGAAGAAAGAGAGTCTATTTTCAAAAGGGTCTTGGGAAACTTTGCAAGGCAGAAAAAGATGGTTACCATAGTCATTACAATGAGCTATCTGAAAAAGTAATTCTAATAATAACATGATTTAATACGTGTGACTGTTATACTGCATCAAGTACTACTATACTAAACAAGAATATATTCAAGGGTAGAAAAACTCTCCTTTTATATTTGCTATTTGTCCAAAATATCAGTGGAAAAAAATACATCACTCAAAAATCAAAACACTGTCCGTAAGCTCCATCATTAGCAATTTAGTCTTTTGTCTAATAGTGTTGAAACAGAAAGGGTCTAGTCTGCGTAGGTTAACCAGATAGGCTCTAAAGTCTTCTCTAGCCTGAGTCTATGAATCCCATATTAGAAACAAAATACCTCTGAAACAATAGTAACCGAAGCTAATATCAGTCATTAATACATTATTGGACAGTAAACCATTAATTTCAAAAGAGACAGCTGAATTGTAAGGAGAGGCATAGTTGAGACAAGATTAATATGTGGGAAAGAGAACAACATGTTCTTCTAAATTAGAATTTTCCAGAGATTCAGGGGCCAGTACTAGTCACCAAATTTGCTGAAGTGTGTAGATGTGATAAAATGTCAATGGAAGACTTCATTCTCCTAGAAATTTTGCCAGCGCTGGGTCTAAGGAGATTCTATCAGGACACAGCATTATGGTTAGCCAGGCCAAAGGCACATACTCAACCTTGTGGGTCTGTGGGTATGTTTCCTACAATACTTCAGGCTTGCCTGGGCTCCAGATGTGTGTCTCCATTAACTGTTTTAGAGGTCTCGGTATCCTGCCCTGATCCTTGGCTTTGACTATCAAATGGCTGAATCGTCTGCTCCTTCCAGCTAGAAGACTTACCAACCAGCATGAGCTCCTGGCCATCACCACTCCTATTTATAATGCTCACCAGTCAGTTTCTCGCTGAAGCAAACTGTCTCCCTCTTAGGCCTGCCTTTCTTATATGATATGACAATCCAGTACTCCAAATGGCGGTGACAACTGAATCTTTTGATTATAGTATTCTTATCTTACCAATCCTCTACCTCTCCTGCCCCATTCCTCATTTTTTCCTACCAGGGGACTCATTCCCCATGTCAAACCAGACTCTATTATAATGAAAACCCTGCCCCAGGCCTTCTTCCTAGGTCCAGCCCTTAAGCCTTCACCTACTCTGGTGGATCTGCCTGAATCCCCAACCTACCCTGCCTTCCTCTAGCTTATCAAAAGCCCTGCTCTACTGCTCTTGCTTTGGCTTTGACCTTTGCCCACTGCCAAATCACCCTGGCTTTGGATAGTTCTTAGAAACAAAACTCAGAACCTATCAACCTGTGCTGCTGGGGTCATATTAAGATTCCACCACAAAGTATGATGAACATTTGGAAATGCACATCCATCGTCACTAAACAGCCAACATTGCATACCCAGTACACAAAAACCTGACACCAGAGGGAAAATATTTTTGTTAAATAGACTGCTAAATGAACAGGGGTTGTGATAATCCTATTATATAGGAATTTTCAATTCATAAAAATAAACTCATTGCCATCAAGTCAATTCTGACTCACAGCGACTATTTGGGTCAGAGTAGAACTGCCCCATAGGGCTTCCAAGGAGTGGCTGGTGGATTTGAACTGCCAACCTTCTGGTTAGCAGCTGAACACTTAACCACTACACCGCCAGGGCTCCTTTCAATTCATAAGCTTCATAATATCAGATCATCATATTGGCAAAGTAGTGCTTGTAAGCTTGGTAAAAAGAAATTTGGAAATTGCTCTATTATTGACTGTTACAATGATATTTGCCAACATGGGATTTTTGCATGTGCGTGCATTCAAATAAAATTTCTGGCCACCATTGTTTATAGCCAAAATATATTAATGTCTCCATATAACAAACTCCAAAGAACACAAGTGAAAAATTTAAATAATTGAAGCATTATGGACTCACTGAATGCTGTATTTTACCTTTATGTTCAATTTTTTTCTTATCACGCACAGACATTGAAAAAAAACCTGATAAAGTTAAAAGATGAGAACTGCTAAAGTGAGGGAAATAAAGGAAACATAAATCAGGAAAACTTTCAAGCTGCTAGAAAGACACTTTAATTTTGTAGACAAAAGACTGCATCAAGAAGGAATAATGCAGTAATCAAAGGTAAACGGATCTCTATTGTCTGGCATCTTTCTCTGTGGGAATCTTCCCACCCTTGACAGCTGTAAATGGGGGAGGGCACCAAATGTGGCTGTGCCTTTATTCTCTCACCCTCTTTCTCTCCAGCCCCTCCTCTTCTCGTCAATAAATGTCTGCAATCATATTCTTGAGCTCCTGTGTGATTTCAAGGTTCATCTCTTCTATGCAGCTCAAACACTAATTATCCCAGCTGTAATTAGTAAGATAATTAAATACTGGCTCCCTCATCACTCTACCTTGTGTCGGGTCATGATTCTCCCAGAAGACCTTGAGCAGTTCCTCAAAGCTGATGCATTCTGGCTGGTACACAACTCGGACTACTTCTGCATGGCCGGTTTTGCCTTGAAAGAAATGGAACATACAAGCAAAATTTACTGAAAACATCAATATATTACAAGTTATTTGTTTCAAAAACCAACAGGCACAAGCTGAAATTCTTTCCTCCGGAGGAAGGGTGTGAGGATAATTGTACTTCAACAGTTTCATCCTAAGTCTCTGTCACTGGTTCTTTAACTTCTTTTTCTATAAAAGTATACACTTACCCTCTAGCAAGTTTCCTGAGCATGATTAGTGTGTTCATTATGTTCCAATTTTTTTTTTTTAAGTTCATGAGGAAATAAACTGGGGTTTTCACTTTTCTAATCTCACTCTGAAGAACCCTATATAGCCAGTCTGACATAGTGCTCAAGAAGGTTTGAAAACTCTGAAAGGGGAATGAGCCAATTTATTTTTATCATCATTTTATGTATATGTAGTAAGCTCAGGTGCACTACAGAGGGAGATAGTGCCAGATAGAAAACCTATAAAAAACAACCTTATAACTCGTTCACATCAGATAAATTAGTTAACAGAGGGACATATTTGTTGTGTTAACACTGAGGCAAGGGTCAGGTTGAAATACCCAGTGTCTTTTCAGCCTAATTCATCTCTGTAGTAAACAACTACTATAAGAAATGCATCTTTGCAGCACTAGCTGTTAGTGGGGGCCCATTCTCAAAGGTAGTTCTGGGTTCAGGAAACCAGGGTTTTGCAGTACCACTTCTACCTATGGAATACATGCCCTTTCTTATTTTACAGTTTTAGAACATGGTAAATAATAAATGCCTCCATACTAACATCAACTCTATATTATTCTTTTTTGCATCTCTTTTTGGTCAACTTAGTTTGCAAAAGTTTTTTTTTTTTTTTTTTCCCTCTCTCATATGTTAGTTATCTCACTTTATTCTCACAACCATCTGATGGTATAGGCAGAGAAGGCAGAAATCCCCATTTTACAGATGGGAAAACTGAAATACAAATAAATTACAGTTGCCCAAGGTTACACAGCTAGTGAATTACTGGGCCATTACCTAAAGAAATACCTTCTGTTTTCTTGCCCTGGGCTCTTTCTAATACATCAAAGGAAAGAGAGCAAGGTAAACATTTAGAAACACGGATCCAGAAGAGGGAAGACATCTATTCATTATCGTTCTTTTAATATTTAAATTTATTTCTGATTGTAGAAACAATATTTACAAACAGTGAGAAGCTTATAAAATGTAGAAAATAAAAAAGAATATAAAAATCATCTATAATCCTACCACATAACTACTATCAATATTTTTTGTGTATCTCTTTCGAGATATGTACCAGATATATACACCTGCCACCTCATACGGAAATTGTTTTATGTGATCATTGCATGTTGCCCCATTTACCAGTATATTCTATCTCCCCATGTCATTGAGATTTTCAGAAAACATCATTTAGAATGACTTTATCGCTCTCCATTAGGTGGTTGTACTATTACCTATTCAATCATTTCCTATCACTGGCATTTAGACTGAATCATATTTTTAATTACAAATATCTTGTATATAGGTTTCCATATTTCTTAGGCTGCCTCAAGCCATATTTAAATAAGTAGAATTTCTAAACCAGTGTTTATAAATACGTTTGAGTTTCTCGATACCTAGTGCCAGACTGTTTTTCAATTTTCTTTTCCATCAGCAGCTAGTCTATCACTATTACAATATTTTTAATCCTTAGCAATTTATAGCTGGAAAATAGTATACTATTGTTATGTATTGAATGCATTCAATTATAGTGAGGTAAAAAATTATGTTTATTAGTAATTTTCATTTATTATTTGGTCTAATTTTTGTTCCTGTCCTTTTTATATTGGGTTATTAATGTTTTATTATTAACTAGTTAGTCTACACAATTTTAATTCAAATGCTACAGTCATGCAAGGTAGCATGACAACAGATTTTATGCTAAGACATGAAAATGATAGTGGGGAATTACGAGAAGAAGATACATTAAGTATAGTAATCACGTTATTGTAAAACCACTTTTGATCTACTTTAAAAGTCTTATTATCTTGTATTTTGAAATGTTTAAATGAACAATTCAACTACATAAACATTAAAACCCTCTGACTATTAAAAATGCCAACAGTATGTTATATGATAGATTTATTTGGTAAGAAAAGCTTTGAAATCATAATAGAAATAAAGGCAAAAGACGTAAACAAGGCAACTCACATAGGAAGAAATAAATGTAAATCAAGACATAAAAAGTGCTCAACATCATTAGTGAGCAAATAAATGCATATTAAAACATTAATATGCCATCTTTTTATTATTACTTTTGTAAAAATGCTTAAAAGTGAACCTAGAGCAGTTGAGGATACAATGAAACTGGTGCACTTATGTGGCTGGTAGCAGTTTAAATTCCTAAAACCCTTTTGAAACCCATTGGCCTACGTAGCAAGAACCACAAAGATGTTCATTCATCTCAGTTAAGTGGTCCAGGAAATCTATCCCAAAGATATAACCTTAAAGAGTGGGAAAAAAATATATATATACATACAAAAATTCATTCATCATTATTACAATCATAGAGCACTCTAAGAAAACCAAAAGTTAAACAAAAAAGAAACAAGATATGGTATAACCACATGATGAAATATTTTACAACCATTAAAATACAATGTCAATGTCCTAACCATAGCAAAAGCCGTTACTATTTACTTTACACTGACAGTTTGGTAGGCACTTTATGTACTTGATGTCATTTAATGCTCACAACAATTTTGCAAGAAAGATCTGGTCCCCATTTTACAGATGAAGAAACCAAGGCTTTCCACAAGTTTTCTCACTCAAAATTCCCCCAGCTAGTAAGTGGCAAAGTCCAGTCAAGATTTAAATTGGAAGTGAAGCTTGGGCTCGTTCTATTAACCCTGTGCTAGGCTCCTGAACGTACAAAGTCAAAGTCACCTCGTGACTGCAAACGTCACACAGGCAGTAGCCCAGATTAAGAAATAAGGCTGTCAAGAATATTGTACAGGTTTAGGTTCTTCTTTTCTGGCAGCAGTAGGGGATCAGGAAAGATCTCCATTCACCAGCAAACACGTTCAGACATAATCTGAATACTGACATTATTTGTGGAAGGGTTTAAAGAAGCTTGGTTGTTTCAAAGAAACTACTACCATTAAACTTCTAGATTCATCTGCATTGATAAACAGTGCTGAGATGCCCTCCCCAAACTCACCTTTAAGTTTCTTTACTTTATTTCTCCAAAGTAAAAGAACGTGTGTAAAAATACACAGTGCAAATAATCAAAAGGATTAAGGGACTAGGAACCACTTACAGAAATGCCCATACTTTACAGAAACTAACCAATGTGCTAGGCTAATTGGATTTCAGAGACCAATCTGTAAACACTTTCTTGTGCTTACAGGGATAAAAGGCCATATCTTAAAAATACTTTGAGCCATGTCTTCATATGACATTGTGTAAATAGCAAGATAGATGTGATGTGCAAACGTGCTTGTTAAAAAAAAAAATCACAGCAGCATTATAGGTGCTTTAAAATTGTTGTTCAAAAATATCTTTAAAGTAAAAACGAAAAGGATGAATGCTCTCTTTGAGGATTTTCCTCTGTTGCCTTATTCCATAATCCCCGAGAAAGGTGAATGAACTCAGAGGGGTAGATTATAGGTGACAATTTCTTACAAGACAAAACATCCAAGAAGAGGTAGATGGAAGTGTTTTGCATGCAGAAAAATCAGACATTCTGGAATCATGCAGAGCTACATGGAGGCTGAATCATCCACAGAGCCAGATGCTTTTAAAGAGAACCCCAAAATACATCAGCCAATTTTTTAAGTCCTATTTCACAGCTTTCCATCCTATGGTGACAATGTTATCTTCAACTCTTCTGGGTCAGCATGCTTAGTTTTTTGCTATTGCTGGACTGGTAAGGTGAGAAGAGAGAGCAGGAAACTGGCCTATCCATAGATGAGAATAGAAGAGAACCAGAGAGGTCGGTGAGATGTGTGAGAAGGTGGATTGTCGAGGGAGGCAGTGTTGTGCACTGGAGAGGAGCACCCACTAGGGAGCCAGACTCCCTCGGTCTGCATTCTGGCTCTGTCATTTGGCAGCTGTGTGACTTTGGCACAACCAGGGAGAGGAGAAGAAGCTAGTTCAAATTACAGCTCCCTGGCAAATGAGCTAGGAGCCCTGGTCGTGCAATGGTTAAGATCTCAGATGCTAACCAAAAGGTCAGCAGTTCAAATCCCCCAGCCACTCTTTGGAAACCCTATGAGGGCAGTTCTACTCTGTCCTATAGGGTTGCTATAAGGTGGGATTGCCTCCACGGCAACGGTATTTTTTTTTTAGGGGGGAGGGGCAAATGAGCTGTACGTTTACTATGGGGCTCAGACCCATTATTGGAGGCCCTTCACCTACTCAGAGAAGCCCTGGTGGTGGACTGGTTAAGTGCATGGCTCCTAACCAAAAGGTTGACAGTTCAAACTCACCAGCCGCTCTGTGGGAGAAAGATGTGGCAGTCCGCCTCCATAAAGATTACAGCCTTGAATAAATAAATAAAATATTACAATATTTTGAAAAGAAAAAGATTACAGACTTGGACACCCTATGCAGCAGTTCTGCTCTGTCCTATAGGGTCAGTGAGTTTGGTTTGGTGGAACCACTCTATGCCTCAATTTCCTCATCTGCAAAATGGGGGCTTGGAATAGTACCTGGCACAAGGTATATAAGCCTATATGTCTTATTATTATGTTATATTATAATTGTTCTCTAACCAGCTGTGATGGAGTGGAAAAAGATTAAAATTGAAGTAACAAGAAATACCTTAAAACACAGTTCTAAGTACTTACTACTTGTTTTTAGATGAGAATAAAAATAACCTCTCTGACAGGACAGTTATAAAGATTAAATAATGTAATACGTGAAAAAGTATTTGGGAGGAGTATAACAATTAAAATTATATATACTCTATGCACAAAAGTTAGGTTTCTATTGTTAATATTCTTCTGTGGTTTCTTAAATGGATG